AGTTTCCTAGGTCTACCTAACTGCTTAGACCTCTGCTTAAGCAAAACCCCTTATTATCTCTAGCTCAGTACATCTTCAAAAATCCCTCATCATTCTGCATAAGGCCACATAATCATCTTTCCCAAACTCATATTTTCCACTAGCAGTTGCCTCAGCAGTTCCCTGTCATCCAGGCAACTGCCAAGCCAACTGCTCACTGTCAAAGTCCAAGCATTCTGTTTAAGTCCAAACTTCACCCAAGAAAGAAAGTTGTTTCACACTGTTTATACAAAGAGGTTAAAGACTTCCGCTGTGCATCTATAAGTCTCTCAAAAGATTATAGATCAACTCATCTAGAAGGGAAAGTTTTTAAATCATGAAAAAACTTTAAAAGTCTATTCACCCCCCCCCCCCTCTAGACTTTTACCTTTATCAGGGACCAGCATAATTTTAAACATTTTTAAACATTCTTAAGTATATTTCCCAAAATAGGATCACTTAGTTTAAACATTCTTAAATAGAACTTTTTATGTGTGATTGGACCAAAATACCTCTATTGCTGCCCTTGGACTGCCGCCGCCGCCGGAGCTCCGTCGACCACCACCGAAAAATTTTTCAGATTTTTTTCTGGACTTTTCCCAGCATTTCTGCCACCGCCAGAGTTCGCCGCCGCCGCCGCCGCCGGAGTTCGCCACCGCCGCCGCCACCGGACTGCCCTGCTACCAACAGACTGCCTTGGATGTGCAAGAGAATTGGGGGGAGGGGGCAATTAATTGGGTTAATTAAATGCCGAAGTTCGTCGCCGCCGCCGACTGGCTACCGGAGTTCTGCCGCCACCAGGGACTGCCCCGCCACCGACGGACTGCCTTGGTTGTGCAAGGAAATTAGGGGGCAATTATTTAGATCAATTAATTCGTTAAATAGAATTAGGGGTAAAAAGGTAAGATTAGTCCTATTTTGGGAAAACCAAACATTAAGTCCTATTTTGTGAAAAGCCTATGTTTTTGTCTTAGCGATGACAATTTTCTCCTTTCAATTCTATATTATGGTCAACATCCTTCAACTAGGTAATTAGCTTTATATTACTCCTATATAGGTAATTAGCTCGATTCGAATATATGATCCCTCCTTGAGTGTTTCATAACAATGTCATCAGACATTTCAGACCACAAATGATCTACAAATTAAGCCATTTTAAGAGAAACATGCAACTTTTCCATTTGTATATTGTGCTTTTAAATTCATGGGAAGAGAGGCTTGGAAATTTAGAATCGGTTGGGTAACCTTGTTTTTTTAGATTATCAAGCTTATTAGTCAATTGAGAAATTGTCTCATATAGGAGTAAGACATAATTAAGGGGAATTCCTAAATAGGAGTGTGTATGTTTTCCCCCCTAAATAGGAGCATCTTACTCCTATTTGTAAACATACGTAAATTTCATTCCCCATTTGCCCCTAATTTATTCCCGATCTGCTTCTCTCTCTTGCGCATAGATGGATCGTTCCTGCGCACAATTCATCGCCATGGTACTCCTTCTTTCACGCCACCGCTGCCGACATCCTTGCGCACCATCGCCGCTGCCATAGACTCTTCTCTGCCTTGCGCCGCAACAGATCGTTCGTTCTCTCTGTGCACCAGATTTACTTCATCGATTTCTCTTTGGATCACTGCCAGGTTTTTCCTCCTCCTCCATAGATTTTTTTAGAGATCATTGTGATGATGTGGATGATTTTTTTGGAGATTATAGTTGAAAAGTTAGGATTATTTGTAGAGATTATTTGATAAAAAAATTTGGTATCAAATTCTAAATCTAGATTATTTGAAGATTATTTCTAACTTCTAGGTTCCTCTCCTCATTTTTCTAGGCACATGCAACATCCGTTGCTATTTAAAAATTGCAGTATCCGTTACTGCTTTGATCCAAGTGATAGCAGTATCCGTTACTATATTAAAATTTGCATGCGGCACACCCGGCACTAGTTCAACTTCCAAACCGTATGTAGTGTATACTTAATATTAATAATCCATCCGTACGTAGAAAGTAGAGTTGTACACTTTTTTATGTACCTAATAATATGGAGTGCATGTGAGTGTGGGAGTGCATTTAAGTTGGAGATTTTGAAATTGAGTGTATGTCTTATAAAAAATCTAGGTAAATTAAGATGATGATGAGGAGAAATTATAAGATTCTAAGATAGAGTACCTAAACCGATCAAATCAAATTTAGGAAATTGTAAAATCTAGTGGAACAAAACTTACTACTCTCTTCCCATTTTTAATATGAATGTGATTGAAGGTGTCGATCAATTGGAAATGGAAAATATAAATTTATGTCTTGTTGATACTCATCAACTGTTTGTATCCAAGGATTATGTTAATTATTTTGGACGTATGTGTTGTTTGGAAGTGCTTGATAGTTGATACAGTTCAATTGGTAGTTTTATAAGAAAAGAAAATAATAATAAAACAGCTATTGAGTTTTTAATAGGATAATTCAACATAAAATCCATAAACAAAATATCAATGTGGAATGTGAACTAAGGATATTTTAATTTTACTTTGATTGTTTACCGTCTCAGATCATACAAGATCAGACTAGACTTGAATAGTTATAAAATACACAGAGACCGAGAAAACAAGCAAATAAGTCATCGAACTATTTGCGTTTTTGCAATCAGGCTCCTGAACCGGAAGAAGTACAAATGCACCCCTCAACTCATTGAAAATCAAACAATCAGGTCAATGAGTAGTTTCTCATCTCCTCACCTGCACCAACGGGTAAAAAAGGACCTGATTGATTGATTTTTAATGAGTTGAGGGGTGTATTTGTACTTCTTCCGGTTCAGGGGCCTGATTGCAAAAACGCAAATAGTTCGAGGGTTTATTTGCCTGTTTTCTCCACAGAGACCAAACATCTACCAGACCAGTCTAGATCAAACCAGATCAGTTCAGACCATACTAGATCATACTAGAAAAATTCAATCCAAATAAAAACATCCTAGATGTGAAGATTTCAACGGAAATGCAAATAACAATAAAAACCGAATTTTACTATAACTCGAAAAACAGGGACACCAAATAGGTTCTTTTTCACCAAACTTGTAATTCTTGATTATGCGCGCTGATTGTGTAATGATAAGAAAATATAAGGTTGGAGTTACTTTTCTGACTATAATGATTGGAGTTGCTGAAAATGATCATTTTAGTTATATCTTCACCACAGCTACTTGCTTTTCTTTTCATTCCAATTCCATCTTTATAAAGTTATTTGTTGAATTTCTATATGATGAGCAAACATTCGCAGACTTCCTCCTCTCTCTTCCGGACTTCTATTCTGCGGTAATTCCAAGCATTCCATGTTGCTTTAATTGTTGCAAATGTATTGCTCTTCTTTCTGTCAATTGCTCCAAGCTAAAATACATTTGCCCTTCTCTATGTTAACCTCCTCTTCGTAATTGCTCCAGGCTTAATTTGCGTTTCTTTCTGTTGAAGATTCTTTTTTGGTCATAATTAAGCAGCTCATATATCATCATTATAATATTGGTATTAATGCGGAAGAATGTATATATTAGGCAAGAGTTGAATTTTAAGAATTCAATTTCCTATTATCGTCCAGCCACTAAGTTATATTATCATTGTACCAAGAATGTATTTGACCCTTTTTCGTGATACAATTACAAATAAACTGGTTGTAATTCATGTTCCGATCCCATGAAGAATTCATCCACCTAAACCTGCAGTATCTTGCTAAACTTATTTAAATCAATATTGTAGATATATAAACATTACCATATGAAAGAAATACGACATTATAAGATCAAAATTAGAACCCAATGAGACCAAAGTGTTTCATCCAAACACCCAAAATGGATGCACAATAGCAATGAAAACCCAAGATAAAACAACATGGCACATAGCTTTTCTTCTACCCCTTGTTCCCTTCTACCATCAGCCTCTAACGCATTTTTTTCATTCTAAATTCACAGATTTTACCCAAAAAAATTGTTCCCAAGTGGCATTTTGTCCCACTCTTTTTTAAACTTTTCATTCTCCCACAAATATAAACTAATCCTAAGGAAATTAGTTTGATCTTAAAGGACCAAATTAGTAGGATATATCTAGTCCCCAAACACTCCACCCTCTCTTAGGATGTTTTTACTTGGACTGTAATTTGCTGGTCTGGTCTGATCTGGTCTGGTCTGGTCTGAACTGGTCTGGTCTGGTCTGGTCTGGTAAGGTCTGGTTTCTTTGTATTTTTATAACTATCCAAGTCTGGTCTGGTCTGGTCTAAACTGGTCTGGTCTGGTCTGGTCTGGTCTGGGGTAAATTACAGTCCAAGTAAAAACATCCTTAATTATCATGTCTCAATTGTATCTTGTGGTTTCAAAATAATGAACAAAGTGTGGCGATTATTAAATATTTTGATTCAGATGACATAACACTTATTGAAGAGGAGAAGAGTCATCATTATCATTACCCCAGTGCCGCAAAGGCTCCCACCTACGGTGGGGTAAGGAGCGTCGAGTGTACGCAGTCTTACCGCTGTACTAAAGCACAGAGAGACTGTTTCTGGATAACCCATAGTGAAAATCACGTAAAAATTGCATTAATTGACCGCTGCCTCATAACAAAGAAGCGCAGACAGGAGAAGAGTGTGTTCAGTATTTTTGTATGGGGTGGGAGGAAGATCAAATTAAAACTTTTGATTAAGATGAGAAAAGTCAACTCAAAGGAGTAGAAGAAGGGTGTGTGAGATGGGGAGGTTTGGGCACAAAGAGAAGATGTATGGTAGGCAAGGTGTGAACCTAGATGAAAGCAATATCAAAGAGAACTATTAGACCCATTTCACTTAATTATGTATGTGCACAACTTTACAAGTTTGAATTACTTGTGTCAATTTCTGTAGTACGGATTATTATTGCAAAACACCTAAAATACAAATAGGATTATTGAAATAAATTTCACCATATAATTATAGTGATTACAAAAATAGTACGGCGTAAATTCATTAATGTTTAATGAGAGAGTGATATCATAGGTATGAATAAATAGAAATGGTTTTGTATACATCAGTACATATGAGTACGTAATAATTAGGTACACACTTGTCCCCAACATTCGGGTCTTGTCACTGATATCTGATCTGACCCGACCCGGTGACTTCCCAGATTTCCTCATTGATGGGGTCCATCCCGGACCACCGTCTTCCGTCCTCGTCGCAGGAGAAACCGACCTCCGTCCAATCCTTTCATAGTTGTTTCTCCTTTTCACGCTTGCCGGGGAACGGCCGGGAGAATCCCGCCCTCCACCTGCCCTGAATTTCGCCGGAGACGGCTGGGATATCCTCGACGGCGACCTACCGGCCGACCTCGATCTTTTCGCCTCTTCAAGAAACGGCCGGTTCCGTACTTTCGCCGGGGACCTCTGCCGGACTTCATCTCCAAGACCCATTTTTTCCGTCACCGTGATGATGGGAACGCTCTCGCTGATAGTGCTGCAGATCTCAGAGGCGGAGAAATCCCCGGATAGATCCTCGGACTTCAAATCCGGTGCGGCGGCGGCGGGCTTCTTGGGAACGGCGTCGTCTAGGCGCTTCTCCTGATCTTGGGTGAGTAGTGGATGTTTACAGGGCCCGTAGTCGATGGGGAATGTGGGCTTGGAGAGGTTTTGAGTTTCAGAGAGAACCTCCTTAACGGTTTCCTCCTCCGGCAACGGGTGGCTGAGAGCAGAGGCTCCCCGGTTGGAGTTCGCCGCCGAATGAGAATGTGGAGGCAGTTTGACGCCGGAGCTTACACAGCAGTTGCCCATATCGGAAATTGAGCAATTTCAGGAATAGAATTAATACGGGTTTGAACTTTCAGGGTTTATTGGCTTTGGAGGCCGCCGGGTGGGGAAGGAGACGGTGGTTGCTTGGCGGAGGAGAGGGGCTGTGTGTGGACTGTGGACTGGTGGTAGGAGAGACTAGAAGGGCATACAAATATCCTCTGGATTGTAGGAAGAAATATGCATGTGGTGGAAGCATGGAAGACTTTTTTTTTTTTGCAAAGGAAGCATGGAAGACTTGACTATGGATGGAGTCATTATAAACTGTAGAATACCATGACTAAATAAATGGTAATGCTTTGATAACATACACAATTTTTTTACACATTTTATGTATACCATAAGATACCACCACACCTTTGTCACGTGGATCAATGAGAATGTTGTAGTTGAATTATTTAAATTTAAATTAAAAATAATATAATGATATGGATGAATCAAGTTAATGATAGGTACGGTACCCCATTTTTTTAAATGGGTACCGGAATTGTCACCTTTATGTATATCTTTATCTGTTTCTATTTACAAGGTAGCTTTCAAACGAATTACCTGTTCAAATAGACAATTAGGGGTGTACAGAAAATGTGTGCCAATATAGCTTTTTACCAAGGGCGGAGCCAGGACACTGGATCAGACTGGGCCGGTACAAAGAATATTTTGGGCTGGGCCAGGGCCAGGGTTGGCTACCCCCTATCTACGCCCCTTATTTTTACAATACATAGAAAGTGGGGTTGGGCGGCGTAGATGCTGTGGCTGAAAAGAATCATGAGAAGAGAGGAGAGAAAAGTTTTACGGTTTGGAGCTTTCGTGTCGATAACGTGTTGTAGGGAGAATTGTTCGTATAGTTTCATTATCAAAGGCCCTATAAATAGGGAGGTATTAAGGTTTACAGAGACGGGACAATGAGCCCATAATACATAGTTTACATAGATTGATCATAATACATATTATATATACAGGATAGCACACTACATGGAATTTCCTTCAACAATACTTGAATACTAGCTGATATGTCATTTTCTCAAATTTATACTCGGTATACATATAGTAGTACATGTTTATATAACTATCCATACAGACAATTGTGAACAAGGGTATGGGAGTGTTGTACACAAAAATGTGTGCATCAATCATTTTTGAACTAATCAATATCAATTTAACTAAAAACTACTCGCCCCATCCCAAAAAATACTTTTAAATTTTAGGCTTAAATATGTTTTAAGTCCCTGCAAATATGACACATTTTCTTTTAAGTTCCTGCAATTTTTTTTTTTTGTTTTTCATCCTGATAATATGCACTATTTTGATTTTAGCCCTACTCTGGTTCCAAAACCACTTTACTTCAAAAAAACTTATTGTGACTTGCGCGCATAAATCCATTAGAAATATTTAAATTTATCCTTTTATAATTTTTTGAGGCTAATACGAGAGTTAAAATAATGTAAAACTATGTATTTACATTTTAAAAATATATATTAAAAGCTTTCAAAAAAAATAAAATTTAAATACTTTTTTAATAACACAAAGAATTAGATGAAACCTATTAGTCAGATCATTTTGAGGTCAAACAGAGGTTGTTATAATTGGTGGTAGACTAAAAAGAAAACTCACATAAATTGCAGGGACGTAAAACAAAAGAAATAATTTTGCAGGGATGTAAAACAAATTCTACTATATTTTGAGGGACTAAAAACATATTTATTGATAGGATTTTCATACCTCATGGCCTGATTATTGATATTGGATATAAAAAAAATGAGTTCTACTATGGAATTATATGAACTTCGTTGGTTTCATGATAACCACGCATTTAATTAATAAATTAATAATTTATGATCCTCTTATAAAAATAAATGGTTATGATGAAATCACTAGTGAAGTCATATACTCATATGACTCCATAATTTTACCAGATCTAATAGAGTGCAATGCTTCATTTTGTATAACTTTGTGTCTTTGAGCATACTTTTAAGTTTTAGTAATGGGATTTTCATACCTCATGGAATGTTCTGGGGCGGACAAAGGACGGAAGGAGTACTATTTTTTCTTAACTTTTAGAATAAAACATGAGTTTTTTCAAAAATATTAGTGAACTCAAATTTATATAATTAATAGTTACTACAATATATTTTTATAAGGGAAAAATAATTAAAGTACTCCAAACTTTGAAGGGGTGTGAGATGAACACTTCAAACTTGCATATGTAATTGAAATACCCCAAAATTTATATAAAAAGTTATTTTCGCATCATTGTCACCTATTATTTCTTTCAAAATGTAAATATATGGGGTTAATTGCATAATTTAAAATAGAAATTTAAAAGTGTTGGAATTATATAGATCAAGGGTAACATTATTTATTTCGCAATGAAAGTTTAGAAAGTTGATTGTGTCTTCAGCATGAATTTTCAAATATTTTAAATTATGCAATTAACACCATATATTTACATTTTTGAAAGATATAATATTTGACTCTGGTGCTAAAATAACCTTTTATATAAAGTTTGGGGTATATAAATTACATATGCAAGTTTTAGATGTTCATCTCACACCCTTTCAAAGTTTGAGGTATTCTAATTATTTTTCCCTTTTTAAAATTACTTTAGCATCAAAGGTGAATATAAATTAAAATAACTAAATTATAACGTTAATCGGGATATTAATTTAGGAGGTCATGTTTTTTAAATAACATTTAATCTAGTCAATCTAGTCATATGTATGTAATTATTTATAAAAACATATCAAAACATCAATTTTTAGTTTGATACTAAATGCCTGTAAGGTGATTACTTAATTACAAAATAAATTGAACATTTTTCGAACAACATAATAACTAAGGATTTTGATTACTAGTTTACTTGTTTGAACAACATTTTGATTACTAGTTTGCATCACATTAACTAAGTATTTTGATAACTAAGGATTATTCGAACATTTTTCGAACAACATAATATAGCTAATTGTAAATTTGATATTTTCGAAATCATATATAATTTAATGTGATGCAAAATAAAAAATAAAAACTCGGTCTATTATGAAGCCGTTTGATAATACTAAAATTGGTCGAATTGTCTGACTCTACTTTAATGAATTAAATCTAACTGATTGGGCTAAATTGATGGAATCTCCCAAATTATGAAAAAGTAAAATAAAATATACTACGTATATAATTAATAAAATAAATTAAAATTTATATTAAAAATATTTAAAATGGACTTCTACATAAGCATCTCAACTTAACATAATTATTATGAACCCGATTTTAAAGAATTCACATAAAAGTTTCTTAATTAATTTTACATCCTTTATATTACTTCATCATTAAGCATCTCAAAACACTATTTTTTTTAAATATTTCTCATTCAACATGATATGAAATAAGTATTTGTAAATTTTATTAGTAAGATCTTACATTTTACTCATTATTTCGTCACATTGAAAATGTAAAAAATGGATCATTTTACAATTTACTCATTTAATTCATCACATTGAAAACATCATTAATAAGGATATTTTAATTAGATTGCCATTTTCAGTTCTAATTTGGTCTAGAGTAAATACAATGCGGATGATGTCTATTTTATGTATGTATAACTTTAACAACAACAACAATAACAATAATAATAATATTTACTATTATTGTGACTATTATTGTGATTGATGTTTGATCCGATCTTGTCTGAGACTAAAATTGGTCCAATTAAAAACATGCTAAATATATGAAGATTTCCTAATTTGGATTAGGAAGTTATTTCAAAAGTGAAGGAACATTAATTTAAATTGTACTTGTAAAAATAAAGGAGTTTTTCCTTAAATGTTACTAATAAAAAGTCTTGGACAAAAATATTACTCTTAGTAACTATTAGTGACTATAGTTATGTTTCAACTTTACGTCATACTAACTTACATGTAGTTACTAAGATGTAAATTTGAACATTAATATAGTTACTAATACTTACTAAGTAATATTCATGTCAATCACATTTTAAAGAGTAATATTAATGGAATTTTTTCAATAAAGAAACAACTAAACATATTTACTTTTTTTGTTGGGCTAAACGTATTCACTTGTGAAAAATATATATAAGCATATATATTTATATTTATGATATGAATTTCCATCCTAATAAAGGTAAGCTACTTGATCATATATATACTCTGTCCTTGATCAATAAAGTTTTAAATGTTTTCATATATGAACGACTAATAGTATATATCAATTTCATTTTTAAGTTAAAGTATTGACTGAAGTTACTGTAGATGACCATTTTAGCTATTATTTCATTAATATTTTTTTGATTTTATAATACTCCGTATATTTTAATTTTCTTCATAAAACACCAGAATCAGCCAATACAGCCAATTCAGACAGAACTTCATAAAATAATTGATATAAAATATAGTCTATGTGTACGGATAACTATTTATTGTTGTGGTTCCAATACTTCCAATTTCTTAATTTAATAACTATCCAAATCAATACGTAGTAAGTAATAGACTAATAGGTCATGAAAAACTTACCCAGTAAGGTGGATTCTATCCTACAATCTTTTCTTTCCATATCAATATGCAATAAAAAATAGAATATGATAAAAAAAAATAAAAGGTATAAAAAATAATTAAGTAATTTTTATATATGATGACATGGCAGGATTATGTGGCACATCGTATGCTCTTAAAAAGTTCCTCTTATATATATTGATTTGATTCAATATCATTGGATACTCTATATATAGTAATTGTTCAAAAATAGGATTAAAAGTTAATCAAAGTGCATTAAAAATACGACATGTTTATAATTGCGAATATATGATATATTGGATCCTCTTAAAAGAATAATAAGAGTTTTTTTAGAAGAATAATACTAAAATAAAACTTATTTACATAAATATGTAGTGTTGTGGTAACTTAAGTTCAAAACTTGAACATGAATTACTATGATTTCATTACTACTCTAGTAACTAGTCATATTTTTTGTAAATTATTTTTATTTTGGTCATATTTATGTAATTATTTCAAAGAATAAAGGTTTATCAATTAGGAGTCAATGAGTCATATCCTACAAAGAAAACAATGACAATTCTAATTATGCACTTTGTTAATATTTTAGTCTTATTTAAGAAATTTTCTCTTGATTAAATTGTATACTAAGAAATCGTTTGCGTTTGGTAATATTGAAATTGCCTGACCGAATTTGCTAAAATTGTTGAAGGCTCACACCGAAAAATTATGAAGTAACAATAT